GTTTCAGGCATAATGTACCAGATGTCAGCCTCACCCCGGCTTCCCTGGCGAGGGGAGGGGAGACACCACTGCAAAGCTGATTGGGAAGGCTGGTAACAGACAGGACAAGCTCCACCTCTGGGAAGAGCCCTTGGTAACATGGTCCTGAGCCCCTGAACCTCTCTCCATTCTCACCTACCCATCAGGCCCAGAAGGGGAAGGCAGGCAAGTGGGTGGAAGAGTCAGCACCAGTGTTTCCATGTACCTGCCATTCTCTTGGGCGGCACACAAAAGGCCTGCTCTGCCTACCCTCGGGGTCTGGATGGGAAGAGGAGACCCTGCTCCCTTCTAGCACAGAAAAGGGGGGCAACGCTGCAACCTAGACACCCCTCAGTGGTTGACAACCAGGGATAGTGGGGGCTTCCAACAGCTGCCTCAAGGGGTCACCCAAATGCCCGGTCTGGTGACAAGACTGCACTTGGAGAACATGTGAATTTCCACCTGGCCGCTGGATTTGCCTGTCCGCTTGGAAGAGCATGAAAGAAAAGCTCTTGGAAGAATTGGTGTGGCAGCTGCCCATAAGGCAACCCACTCCTTCTACCTGCTGCTTTATTTGCATGCTTACAACTCCGAGCTTCTAACTGGCAAATAAAAGGATGGTGCAGATCGTAAAACTTTCCTCTATTTCAGCGATTCTCTCACTAAAGGAAGAATTTGACAGATCCAGGACTTGCTTTCTGTGAGAAATGGGTTCTGATCACAGAAGGTTCCTCTACCCCTTTGTCCTAACTATACCGTGGCTTACTCCATTCTGCACAGTCTCCTACAGCTCTGTACATGCTCAGGTCACTGGAGAAAGTGCCTGGGAAGTTCAGTTCCACCAGCACAGCTGATTCAGCATCAATCTAGATCCTGGAGCATTTTAAGCAATTTTCTATCCCAAAAGAATGACCTTCTGGTACTGGTATGTGACACAAACATTTCTCTCTACTTGTGTTCTCTGATTCTGCTATGATATACAACATCCATATGACTGCAGAAAATGTTTATATGGCCAATACAAGTTGCACAAGGTTTGAATTTGAGAACATGACTGGTGCATCTCTTGTATTTCCTTAGAAAAGTTACTACTGCTATTTCTGGTTGCAGAATAGAGCAACTTATGAAGAGCAGTGGATGCAGTGGTCTGGAAAAGCAAGGTTCAAATTATTGCTTGGTAATGAATCCATCTGAGTATTTTGGGGTAAGTCATTATTTGCTTTTCTTATTTGTATTACTTGCTTTTCTGTCCTACTAACGGAATAAGCACATTATTGACCGTATTTAGCAACTTTTAAGGTGCAGCCCTATTGATTGTACCCTCAACATTCATAAGCCTCCAAACTTGGGGCATTTATGAGTATCCATTCTAGAATGGGAGGTGCAGTGGAGGTGATCTTAGCTTCCACACACCTCCTGCTCTTCATTTCAGCTACATGGCCAATTTCAGCTGTCTAACAGAGGCACTTCAGAAAGGGAGAAGGGACCAGCACCAGGATAAACTGTGACCTGACGCTCCCAGTCATTCTCTCCTCTCTGCTGCCTTGAACACCCCCTTTACCCATCCTCCAAGGTCAATACTCTGACAGTGGAGTGCCAGCTAATGTGCTTTTTCAATGGTGTCCAAAGTAGGGCGGGGGATTAGCACATCGATCCCCAGCTCCGAAGTTGGAACTGTGTTTCTGAGCTCCAATCCGGGAATCTGAAGAATCCTATTCTTAACAGCTCTATATCATCCATTCTATATCTCCTAGTCATGGGAAAGGGCAAGGAGCTAAGCAAAGCATCACAAGCTCTGTCCGTAACCACTGATAATGCTATTCAGCCACATCTTTGACATCTGGGATTTGAATATACATTGCTCAATCCCAAGTATTTCCATGCATGACTGCTCAGATGTAAAGACTTTCAGCTAATCAAGATTAAAAGGCTCACCTCTTCCCCATAACCCTAACTAATGTGAAATACCCCTCTGATCTCATTCTTCATTCATTCTTTTAAAAAGGGATCTCTCAACTAAATCAGTGTGTGAAAATTTAAGAGTTAGTTCTAATGGCTAGCAGCCCTTTATTGACCTATCACCCATAAGTTTAATCCTTTTAAAAAGCCTTGCAATGATCATCATGACATCTCGTGGCAACAAATCCCACATATTAATGATGCATCGTACAAAGCTGTACTTTCTGTGTTCTCTGCAGATCTGCTACAAATCCAGCTTCCTTGGTGACCTCATCGGGACTATGAGGGAAAGACACTCCCCAGCATTCACAGAGAATGACAAAATCATGATGTTCCTTTTTCTATTTATCATTTCCACCCTAGGGAAAAATGCCTCCAAGGCATGAATCCAGATTTTCCACCCTAAAGCCCTCCAAGTGTGTTGGGCTACAATCCTATCATCTGTATATGTCCATATAGCAGCTGGTGTCCAACAGATCTTGCAGGGCACCAGGTTGGAAAAGGCTGATCTGACCTTCCCTCGTATGAAATGTGCTCTACTCTGTTCATCCATTTGGTCGCCCTTTCCTACACTTTTGCTAACTCTACAGCACCCTTTTTGAGGTGAGGCAGCCAGAACTGTATGTAGTGTTACAGAGGTGAAGAACCAAAGGTTTATATAATGGCATAATACATACATAATACATAATGCATTGGGTTCGATCCCTGCCCGAATCGTCCCTAAGGAGGTCACAAACCCAGATCCTTTTGCTTTCTTTTAAATTATTTCTTTGTTGCATGCTACTTTAAACTTTTCAATTATGTCCACAAGAACACTTTTTGACCACTGGTACCAAGAAATAAAAAGGACAAACATACCGTTACTAGCACAGGAACACTAACATATTGCGGGTTTTGGAAACAATTCTCCTTGTTAATGCAAGCTGAAATGGCACCCATTCACTGCTGCTGTACCTGAATCTTCCTTAGGATTGTCAGTGCCTGCCTAATTTGTCACCATCAGGGCATTTCATTTCTCATTACCTTCCCAGCTCATACTTCTGAACGTGTGGTCTGTCCTCTACAGCAGCCTTTCCCCACCTGGTGCCCTTTAAATGTACTGGATTAGAGTGCTCAACAGAGAACTGGAAGTTGCAGGCCAGCACATCTGGAGGGCGCCAAGCTGGGGAAAGCTGCTCTACACCACGTTGCAATTTTTCCCAATTGGTTATTTGATGAGCATAGTGCCCATGTCAACATCCTTATACGTTCAGAGACCGACTGTGGTGGAAAACTATAGGACACCTCTTTCTAATTAGATAGAGTGAGAGTTTGCAGAACAGTTCATTGTGAATAAGCTACACAGTGTGGGTTCTTTGTGGAACAACCCACAGTGTGCCTGACAATCAGGCTCATCACAGCGTGCCCACCCTCCTTCTCCCTTGGCCTTTCCACCAGTATCCCAGGGCACTTGGTGGCTGAACCTGGCTGGTCTTCTCCCTTCACTCCAACTGCGACTACTTTTCAGTTGCCACTGCCACTCTCCCCTTCTTTCCATTCCTTTGCAGAGTTTTTGTGAGATCTTCCAGCAACACATTCCAAGCAACACATTCGAGCAGCCATCCCTGATGTGCCACCCTTAAAAACTCTTTTAAAGCTTTTGTTTTGTCTTTGTTTTCTTTTGTTGTTTGGAGTCAGACTTCTGCTAGCCAACCTATGAAAACTTGCCTGATTCATGTAACTGTCTTCTGCCAAAGTGCAGGAAGTAACATCCACGACTAGTGCTGCAACAGGGCAATTTATTATTTTGCTTTTCACTTTCCAGCTGCCAACAGTAAAGCTAAGTCGCAAGGGGATCTTCATTCACAATAGGGGGTGGTGAATAGATCTCCCCCTTGGCAGGGGGATCCGCTAGTTTTTCAGTAATACCCTGACAATTCCCAGTGCCTTTCAGTTTTTCCTTTAGGTACTCCAGAAAGGTCCTCTTTGCAAGCATCTACTCTGTCAAAAATCACATTTTTTGTTTCAGCAGGATTTTTGACAGGGTAATAAAGGGATGTTTTGACAAATTTCACATCTGACTTTGGATGACATGGCAAACCACCATGACTACCTATCCTTGATGGCTTATCATGTAAACCCAATCAGTGAAGAGTTGCATTACTTTGTTAGCTTCTCACATACAACTCTATGGCAGTTCCCCCATCCTTGACTTAAAGAGAATTTGACCCAGCATTTTGGAATCAGAATGGGTATGGATAGGGCGCTCTTCAAAAAGGCAACATTCCTCTAGCAAACACATACAGAGATTCACTATTTTGGAGACTAGGACTCTTTTCTAGACCTATAAAGCTGAAGTAAACCAAATGAAAGTTTAGGAATGGTGAGGATAACAGCAATTTTCTGTTTCCTGAGTGAAAACTGCATGTTTGCTTCTGTGATTAAGTGTTGCGACCAGGAAACAGATTTGCAAATTGTATTGTCAATTTACAGCACATTTTATTGTAAAAAATTCCTAACACCCAACAAAACAGAGTGGAGGCTTAATTGTGCAGGCTGATGCACAATTAAGTTAATTGCACTTAGAATGCACAACCATGAGTTAGATCCACATACAGCTTATGTTGCTGTTTTTGTGTCCAGATGGGAACATTATGCACAATTATGACAAAGGTGCATGTTACACACAATGATTCTTGGATTTGTACTGCTGTCTGTGCTTCTCTGCAGGGGACATGGTGCAGATCTGCAGATAATACATACAAAACGGAGCTCCATTTTGCAAAATCTGCATAGCCACTTTGATGGAGAAGCATTCCAAACATGTACCACCATGGGAAGATGGAAATCAAGAGATCAGAATTCACATATCACTAGTCACTTAAAACAGAATCTGTTCCATTCAGGCAACCTCATTCACTCCTTTTAATTCAAACAATTCATGTCTCTAAAAATCTTATAGCATCTATAAATCTTTGTGAATGTACATGAGTGCACATACACATGCCCACACACACACACACACACACACACACACACACACACACACAGATTACTCACCACAGATGGCTTTTTGTTAAAAGTTCCCCTTGACAAAGCAGTTTCAAACTTTCAGGTTTTGCTTGCCTTACAGAAGTATAGACCTGTTTAAAAAAAACTGATCCTCAGTCCTTATTTCCATTGTGCACCAGTTTGCAGAACAGTGCTCAATTTGCAAGCTAAATCCAAACTCAGCTCCAAATGCCACTTGCATCTGGAATACTTTTCTGACTCTTTGGCCCATTTGGAAATGTTATTCATTAGAACGCTGGCATGTTCTTGGAGAAGGTTTCCTTTCTTTTTTCTTTAATGATCCATGTAAAAAGAGAGAGAGAGAGAGACAGAGAGAGAGAATGACACAACCTGCGCATGTTGCAAACCATGTATAGCTTTCGCAGTGGAGGTTTTAATGGCAGCCACAGGCTCGCACCACCATGTTTCGGTATTTCTTCAGGATGACGTTGGAGCTGTCATCGAAGTAGAGCACTGAAATGGCATTGAGCTGCGTTGGGGCACAGCAAGGCTTCGGCACAGTCTCTGGGTTTATAAAGTGAACCTGTGAAGCAAGTTAGGTAGCACATTAGAATGTTCCCATTCATTTTATGTATTACAGTGATTTATATTCTGCCTTTCAGGATAAACATCTTTCCATGGTAGCTTACAAGGAAGACAACAACAGGTTAATGACAAACACTGCAAACAATGTTAAGAGTAACTCATCAGGGTGTCTTCCTCAGGGCAGTTGATGGTTTGTGTCAGGGAAGGAAGAACAAGTGAAGAACCCTGAGGTGGCCTCTCTCCTAAGATCCCCCCATAGAACAGTTAGTCGTAAGTAGTGGGACGGGACAGGCGAGGTGAAGAAGGCAGTGTGGGGGTCTTGGCCTGCCTGCTTCTCTGTCCCTTTCTAGAGCAATCTTTACTACTCAGCAGGCATCCAAAACTACTCTGATTGCTATCAAACTCTGGCTCTATCCTAACAGACACTCTTGGGAATTGAGTGTTTTAGCAGCTGAGCAATATGGGTTTTGTGACCCATTCCTTGGTAGATTGTCATCAACAGCATTAGCTCTGTAGGCTTCCTTTTTCCTGTTCCTATTTTTTGGAGAATTTATTGTACCTGTTCCCCACACAAAGGTTCAGGAAGTGGCAGAGCATCATTAGCTAACAAAGGACATTTTTCTCCCTCTTTGGATTTGCTAGAATCCAAAGAGCTCATCCCATGAAACTGATCAATGGGAGATTCAGGTAAAAGAATATTCTTCTTCCACAGCACATAGTTATACTATGCTAACAGTCCTTTAAAAGAGGATTGGACTTACTCATGGAGGAAAAGGTTTGCAATGAGTACTAGTCCTGCAGGCTTTTTCCTACTTCCACTATCAGACACAGTATTCCTATGTGTATCCATTGCTGGGGAACATGGGAGAGAGGGTACTGTTATACCAGTGTCCTGCATGTGGGCTTCTCATGAGTACTTAGTTGGCTGCTATGTGAACACGACACATGGATGGACACTTGGTCTGAACCGGCTCTTCTTAGGTTCTTACAATGGTCCTCTCTAGGTTGGCTTAAGCAGCTGTAAAAAGTACTTCTACTTTTTGATACCAGTAACTTTAGAGCAATATTTAAAGTTCTTGGTGTCACTTTAATGTTCTTCTTTGCAATCCTTTTCAATGGTTAATCTTTTGAGAAGATTTTATATATTCAAGTTTATGAGCTCAAGGGCTGAGCTTTATGTGATTGTCTATGTACTTCCTGTACTTTCAAACAGCTACTAAACTGGTTTTGGCACTTCTTATTACAAACAGATTTCCTCTGATTAGGTAGCAACCTGTGCACATGAGGGGTGCAATTCATAGAAAATTAAGGAAAGCAGTGTCTGGCCACTAGAGCGATTGACACTGGTGGAAACCAAGATTGGCACAACATCCGTACTACTTGCTAATGCAATGGAAACCTGGACTCAACCAGCTAACACCACCACCAAGCTGGCCCAACTGGCATGGAGTGAAAACCAGTCCAGCTGCAGTTCCTGCGTTTATAGCATCCTGGAGCCACACACACACCTCGAAGCTCTCCCCCATCTGTAACCTGGGAGGGGCGACAGCAGCTCCCTCTTCTCTGTACGGAGCTTCGGCTCCTGCCAGCCTTTGTTGCTGCAACATGGAACACTGCAAGAAACACTGCTCAGGAAGCAAATACAGTTCCGGCCTGGCCAACACCCAGCCCAGCCACCTCTTCTGGAAATGTCCAGAGCTCTGCTAAAATCAACCTTGCCACCCTTTCAGCAAGCCCTGAGAAATGCTCACAAGAACCGGGGGGGGGGGGGGTCCATGCATGCATATTTACCAGTAGGCAGCCTGATGCCCTCCAGATTGCTTCAGCTATAATCCCAATAATCCTTGACTGGCAGGGGCTTCTGGAAGTCCTGGTCCAGAACACCTGGGGGGCACCACACTGCCTTCCCCTGCAAACTACCAAGTCAATATGACAAGCCTTGTTAGCTACAGGAGTGGGCTTTGTGATGGATCCCAATGTTCAGGCTGACTAAAATGAAAAATATACAGAAGCATATGCATGTCTGTCTGTGTGTACACAAATGCATGCACACACTGCCAGCTCAGGCAAGCTTCTTTGCCAGAGCTACTCAGGAGACAGAGCCATGGTTACTGCACTGGCAGTGGGAAGCATCTAGAAAACAAAAGGAAGGCAAGGCCCCCTGCCCATTGCATGTCTAAATCCATCTCTAAAGTACTGTGAACAGATTTTAAGCCAGGTACCCCAAACTAGTCAACACTGACATGGGAATTAATAATGCTACCGTGCCTAATACATACCTTTCCTTTACCCTGTTAAAATCAGTAACGCCCCACAACACTTGCAATTCATTTAAATGGGAAAATGTGATGCAATTCAATGAGATTCTCAGGAAGGACTTTAAAATGAACCTACCAGTGTTTGTACAATAGCATGGTTTGTTGCATTCATATATGAGTTTAATGGGAAGGCACATTCACCTTCACAGTAATATGCAGCATAACCTTCTGGAGCAATGATCCAGTCCTGGGTTAGATCAGACAAAGAGAGAGGAGTTAATAAAAGACACCATGAAATTATTCACTCTGGGATACTTTGATACATCTAGGGCCTCCATCTACTTGGTACCCTTCAGACATGCATGGCCGACAGCCAATGGGCTGAGGACGCTCAGAGCGGTAGCACAACCCATCTGTGGGCAAGGCTGATACTGCACATTCACAAAAGGGTGGATTCTCACGGCAGCAGGTTTAGCTGATCCAGCCTGGCTTTTGGGTACACAGGTGTGGTGAGTGAGGGGGTCTGAATCAGGAACCATGGGACAAAGCCAGCAGTTAGGAACAAAAACACAAGCCGCATCCAAAGGAGTAATTAGGAGGACTTGAGACAGAAGCCAAATGCCAAGTCTGAAGAATGGGTCTTTCATGCTCTAACACATAATCCTTGGCTGACCTGTTGAATTCTAGAAATGAGTATTTTCCCCAGTTTCTAGCATTTTGAATACATGAAAGCCCATGATGTGTGTAGCTGCTCCCAAAACTCCTGTGTCCCATGGGCACAACAGGAGCTAGTTCTACCTCTTCATTACTGGACAGTGCTGGGAGCACAAGATGAAGAACCTGGCTTTGGGTGCATGTTGATGCCACTACATAGCCACATAAAAGGAGAATGAGTGTGCCAGGACCACTGGCCATGGAGCCCTCCATATATGGGGCAGGGTGCTGCTGAATACCCCATGCCAGGGATCAACAGTGCGAGAGAAAGGTTGTCTGCATTTCCTGCTTCTGGCCTCCACTGGAGGCAGCCAGTTGGCCACAGTGAGAAACAGGGTCTGTAACTAGACGTACCATGGGACCTACCCAGGAAAGCTCTTTTTATGACCACCTTTCTAGGGCCAAAATAGATGCTAACTTAAGTGTGTGGATAGCATCACAGTTCTCTCCCCACCACTGTTTAGGAACAGGGAGGAGAGAGAATTTTATGACCCAGAGAAGGGCCCTTGCTCCTCCTCTAGAGTAAAATTGAGAATGAGTGAGAACTGCAAGCCACGTGCTTAAGGAATGTGTTAAGATGTCAGGAAGCAAATTTAGCGTGCCAAAACTGGTGACTGAAAGGAAGGTGACACTAAGGTAGCCCAATACAATATTCAGGCTAACTGGAATGAGGAGGGTTGCCTAAGAGCACAGTCTGGCTCTGCATTCATCCTGATCTGATCATCTCACTGAGACTTCAGTAGGAGAATGGCCAGATGAACTGTGGTCTGCTGGTAACTCTGGGAAGGGGGCAGAAAGGTTAGATGTGGCACTAGGTTTTTTACCTCAGGCATCAAAATGCCTTGGGCCAGCCTAGCTCAGACATTTACGGATGATTCCACATGCAGCAGCCTGACCATGTATCCCCCCCGTACATCTGACCATGTATCACCCCCATACATGGGTGGTTGCTGAAAGAGTCAGAAGAACCAAAATATGACTCAGTGCATTAGCATCTACGCATCTGTGATCCAGCAGCAGTGTCATGATCCCAGAAACAAAAAGTGCAAAGAAGGCTAGCAAGCTTGCAATGCACTGAACTAGAAAGAGCAAGCACACGTATGGATTGGAAAATTGCACTGTAATCTACTTAGAGGGCCTTCCGGCTGATTTAGTGGACAATAAATCCAAAAATGAAATAATAAAATAAAATAGGCTTGGCAGTGAGTCTGCCTGCTGGTTTGAATGGGAGAATGAATGTCCCCACACTCACCAAAGACCCTTGAGGCAAAAGGGTCCCTGGCAAGGTGCAGGGGAGGAAGATATTTGTTCCCCCGAAGGAGTCAGGAGCGGCAAACCTCAGGCCCAAGGGGCAAATCCAACCCTCTGAGGTTCACTAGAAGGCTATGCACTCTTCTGCTGGCCCTGGTCCTTTGCTCACCAACAGTGATGATTTGGAAGTCTCCTGTCTCTTGTGCAGGTTGAAATGCTTCTCCTAAGGTTTAGTTACTAATACAGAGCATCAAAAACTACAATATGCTGATATTTTGCTGTTGTTGCCCCCACACACCGCCTTCCGTCCTGCCCATCACTACAAGCTAGCCTCCAGGAGCTTCTCCAAAATTAAATTGGACTCTTAGGATGAAAGAGGCTTCCTATACATGCAGCAAATGAAACATGGAGGCAGCCAAGTTCATGGAGGTTTGCAAGCTTCCGCATGCAAGAGTGGAAGCAGCCTTTGTACTTCTGAAAGCAGACATAGCAACTTGGGTCAGACTTGGAAAACTGGGTCACAGGATTCACATTACCAGCACAATAACAGAGGACAAAAAACAAAACAAAACAAAATGCTCTGCTGTTCTCCGATTCCAAGGACAGAAAGAACATTACCTGCCAGCCAAGATCTCTGAAACTGACATAGAGCTCATGTTTCTTGCAAGCTTGCCTTTGGTCGCTGCTGCTGTTCTCTGTGTTTGGAGGGTTTTGGGTAGAAATGGGGGCAGCGGGGAGAAACATGGAGTTGTCGTGTAAGTTCAAGTCTCCAACAACACCCTATGCTGTAATACGATGCACCACACACAGCCCAGCCATTATAGCAACATGCTCCCAGACCTCTAACTGTGGCAGGGAGAAGGGAAGTATCAAAATCATGGGGACTCTGTGATCTGTATTCTGCCATTTTTTGGCAAAATAGGCAGGTTGCTTACCTGTAACTGTCCTTGTTCAAGTGGCTATCTGTGCATTCACACATTCTGCACCTGCACAAAGCCTAGATTGGGAAAAACTTCGCTTTCTCCTCCACAATTGCCACAGGTGCCTCCAACACAGGCTGGGGTGCTCACTGCAGCAACATGCGCAGGCGAGGCCTGTGGGGCCTGCATCTCTACACATCACCCCCGGGAGATGCTGGATGTGCACAAGGCGCTGGTATCTTCCCGAGCACCCTCAGAGGCTGCCACATTCAAATAGCAATGGCGAACACCACTGTCATGTACTGCCTAAGCAAGCAGGGCGGCACATGGTCCGCACCACCTCACCAACCATCCAGCATCTGGGACCAGTTCATAACCTGGAACATCACCATCACAGCCATCTACGTGGCGGGCAGGCTCAACGCCCTGGCCACCACCCTCAGCTGCATCACCTCAGCACCACATGAATGGGAGCTCAGCAGGGACCTCCATGACACACGGGGCATGCCTGAGGTAGCCCTGTTCACCACGTTCCAGAATTCCAAGTGCCACCACTTCTGTTCCAGGGCAGGACTGGGGACTAGCTCCCTGGGGAATGCATTCCTCCCCAAATGGGAAGGCACACTAGTCTACACTTCCCCACCTTCCATCTGATCACCAGGGTGATCTCCAAAATCCAGAGGGACAAAATGGACTGTGTCCTTGTCACCGCTGGTGGCTGAGACATGGCTTCTTGTCCTCCACCTCTCCAGAAGGAACATCTTCCACCTGCCACAACACTGCAACCTGATCTTGTAGGACCAGGGTTGTGTCCTCCACCAGAACCTGACCACCTAGAGATAGCCGACACCGCTGCACCCCTCCCACCTGCTTTCTCCACCATACTGGAAGTGGCCCTTAGGTCCTCCACCTGCAAATTTTACCTACCCAAATGAAAAGCAGGTCAGCAGGGCTTGATGCCTCCAAGAACTCCACAGAACACATTCTCACCTATTTGCGGACCCACTTCAGTGCAGACCTCACCCCATTGTCACTGTGGTGACACCTGGCGGCCATCTCACACTTCCACCCCCCCAGTTAGGGAGTCGTCTTTGGACGTCATACACACAAGTCCCTGCAGGGCATCCAGCACATTGCCCTGCCCACCTGCCCCTTCACCCCATTGTGGAGCCTGTTAGTGGTCCTCCAGCCCATCACCAAGAGGTCTTTCAAGCCTCTGACAACTACGGACCTATGGCTCCTATCATGAAAGACAGCCTTCCTTGTTGCCAGCATGTTGGCAAACTCTCAGCTCTGCGAGCTGACATACCCTGCTTGGCTTTCTACAGGGATAAAGCAGCGCTCTGCCCTAATCCTCAGTTCACACCTGAGGTTACATCTGCATTCCACGTCAACCAGGACATAGTCCTGCAAGCCTTCTTCTCCAACCCCTCTACACCCATAAAAGCCACATGCACCTCCTCCGATGCCCACAGGGCACTTGCATTCTACAAGAGGAGAACTGCATGGGTTTCCTGCTCTGACCGCCTCTTTGTACACTATGAGGGCCAGAGACAACTGATCTCCTCTCAGAAACCCTCCAAATGGGTATCTGCCTAGCATATGCGATGGCAGGCCTCAGACTTTCTGCATGTCCATGGGCACAGTCCACACACGTGCAGGCCACACTGACCACCCTCCTAGCCAGTATCCTGCTCCAGTGCAGAGCTGCCACACGGGCCACCCTCTTGACCACCCACTACCAGCTGGACATTTGTGCAAGACAGGACGGCCCCTTCAGCAGGGTGGCGCTCTCCTCAGGGCTCCAGTGACAACAGCCTCCTCTGTCCTATGTCGGGTAAGCTTGTTAATCACCCATATGTATGATTACAAAGAGACCACAAAGAAGAAAGGCAGGTTGCTTACGTGTAACCATCATTCCTGGAGGGGTCATCTGTGCATTCAACCTGCCCGCTCCCCCACTGGCTGTCATCAGCCAGCCATGTCTTCCATCCCCCTGGGACACAGGTCTCAGCCAGGGTCAATACTACTCTCTCTCTCTTTCTTCCCACCCTTCAGCTGCCAGGGACTCATGGCAGTCTGGAAGGCTCCTGAGGGACTGGGTTGGCTCCACCCTTATATACCCAGGAACTGGAAGAGGTGTGGCTCCCACCCACCCCAGCACACTGGGTTGTTGAAGTTTTTCTCAGCCCAGGCCTTGTGCAGGCACCAAAGCCCATGTGTGTGATGCACAGAGACCACAAAGAACTGTTTGTCCACTGCTTGACCTGGGGAGTGTCAAGGAGTTACAGAAGGCACACAGCGTTGACCACTGCAATTCAGGACACACAGCAGCTTCAATATGCATCTAAATTGTCCTACTCACTTTCAAGCATATCTTCAAAAGGAAAGTTAAGAGACTTGCTTTAAAAAATAGTGTTATGGATCTTCGGAGGCAGAAGGCAGAAATCCCCATGACACATGGGCCCACATAACCAAACATGTACACCCTCTTCTATTATAACCAAGGGCCTACAGAGTGGGGCTGATTCAAGGCCGAGGCACTGCAGGAGGAAGCGCCTGCCACCCTTGCTGCTTTTCTAGAGCAACTCTTCTTCAGCTAGATTCTCCGCCACTACTATACATCTGCAACTCTGCAGGGGACATGGAGGGAATGGAACATGGGTGGGAGGCTCTGCAATGTCTTGATAGATGCCATTGCTGGGTTTTGTCCATGAATAATGCATTACTATGGCGCGAATTATGCACCCAGTGCTCCCAAGGCCACCGTGTTTGCTTTTCTTGAGCAAACATAAAATGAACCACCATGGCATGGAGTTCTGATACCCAGTGGGCACTGCTTTCAAACCCAGATGCACAATGCTGTTCCAGCACCATATGAAAATGCATACTTGACTAGAGTAGGGATAGGGGCCATGCCATCATGTGATCTAGGGAGGTAGAACCTCAGGTATGGGGTTCTAATATGGACTTCCAGGATTCTGCAGATAGCCCCATTCTCCAGGTCCCATCAGCAATCTGATTATGTCCATATTTCATAAATAAAGCCTAGCAATCCATGCTGTAAATGCAAGGTCACTAAACGATATATCTTTAATTAAGGAAGAACAAACACAAAGACACCTCAGGCTTATCTCTGCAGCCATGTGGCCTAGAAACTTTTATTATTTATTATATTCTTTCCACATAATCAGAACATTCCAATGTTCTGAACATTTTTGTATGAATTTGTTACTAGTTGTCTATATTAAAAGAAGTCTCCAGCAACTAGCAGAAAGCCATTAGGGAGGGACAGATGGATTTCCCTAGAAAGAGGATTGGAAAGTTTTGGCTAAGCCACTGAGAAGCCCCCTTTGTCATAAGTGCAAGGCTGTTTCAAAGGGTCTGGGGCTAATCATCTCCCTACGGGAAACCCACAAGTAGCACCTAAGTGCAACAGCCCCTACGTGCTCACCTTTTCCAACCATGCTGCCTCTTGGTGGACCTGATTTTTCATCATCAAGTCACCGATAGCCTTCTCCTCCATGAATTTGTCTAATCCCCCTTTAAAGCCAAGCTGGTAGCCAGTACTGTAGCTTTGTGGGGGTACATTCTTTGGCTTAACTATGTGCTGTGTGAAGAGGTGCTGCACATCTGTGGCAAATTGTCTCTGATTTGGTAAGAAAGACCAAGCACCTGAACACCTAAAGCTTTCAGTTTGCTATCAGAGCAGGCAGTCCGTCTCCACAGAGCACTCTTGTCCTTGGCTACCATGAAGAGGGGCCCTTGAACTTGTCCATCAACAGCACTCAACAGCAGATGGGCAAAACACACATTCAAGATGAAGACAGAGGCAAACCCTGGATTGCTCCAGGTTTAGCTGGATCTCCCAGGGTGAGTTTGACAGAAAGCACACACCTAATGCCTGCATACCTCCAAGATTTGACACCCTAAAGCTTTCTTGGTTCTTTGGTGTCTTAGAGCGGTTCTGGTTTCGCTGTTTGCCTCCTGCGGAACGGATGCTACGCAGATGCACCTCTGTGGCTTTGAAGAAGGCCACTGTGAAGGGCTGCTTGTTCTGGGGGCCATGCCTTCCAATAAGACCAGCCAATGTAGGATTGATGCTTTGTCCTGAGGAGAGAGGGGGGGAAACCACATTAATTCCAGAGAGGAATGTTATTTGCTTTCCATTTATACCGGCAAGAGCAGACTCGCCTATAACCAGGCAGACCCACCTACAACCCATGTCCCCCGTTTCCCACAGCCTTCCATCTGTACAAGGACAGCGCAAGACTTGAGTCCTTTCCCTAATGAAGCTTCTTGTGCGTGTAATGGCTCAATGCAGGGAATTTCATTTTGCGTCTCAGCGTGCAACAGCTGAAGCGAACGCTTCCACCGAAACTTACATTACACTAGGTCAGCTTCAATATTAGATTTCCCTGCTTTTTATTTTCTTTTTCTTTTAAGAGGGGTTTCTTTGAGTTCACCAACCTATAATTTGATGTGATCCTGTAAAAAGGAACCATAAAACCAAGCCCAGCGGAACACTAAATTCTCATTGGAAGGTTATTAGCTTAAAATAAAATGCTTAGGCTTAAATGAAGGCTGATGCCGTTCCAGAAAGATTACAGTGGAGGGCTAGCAATGGCTTGGGAGAGATTTTGTTTACTGATGCTTTCATTTAGATTTGATGGGCAAACTGAATTTGAGAATGTCAGGCTATTTGGTCAAAGCAGCAGATCTACACCTGGGCTGATTCCCTCCCACCCAGAAGTCCATGGTAGTCTTTCCCAACCTTACTTTCTTTCAGAAGTGTTGGACTACCAACTCCCATCATCCAATCAGGACTATGCTGGCTGGGATGATGGGAGGTGCAGTCCAGCTCTGGAGATTGGGGAAGGCAGGAGGGGTGTGTACAGAAAAGCAACCAAGTGGTCAGCAACTGCCTGGTCGGATTCCTAGTTATACATGGCCAATACAGACAGGGTGGCTGCTTTGGAAAGCAGGAAAAAAGGAAGGCCGAATTAAAAGAAGGCACCAATTTATAGAAGGTTTCTGCATACAACAGAGGGGAAGACTGGCTGGATGAGCTGGCGCCTTCCCAGTCAGTCTACTGTCCAAGCACCACTGAAAAGCAACTTTGAAGCCCCATATTTCACCATTTTTAAACTGGACTTGAACTGGACAGTGCTGGAAATAGAGGACTGTTTTCTGTAAAACCTGACACCAAGCCACCCTAAAACCAGGGATGGACTCAAGTATCATTTTGGCAGAAGGGATGCATAAAATGGTAGCATGCCCTCCACACACATACACTGGCCTAGGGATGCCAATGATGAGATAAGTGGCATATAAATATTTTAAATAAATAAATACATGTGGTTTTAGCGCCCCTTGTTTATTCTCCTTGCATTTCTGACTGACTACCAGTACTGGCTTCCCAAATGGTTGGGATCTATGCCCCTGCTTATTATGGTGTTCGTTCACCCCTCCAGCAGACCCTCCCTCCTGCCTATGCCCAAGGTATTCTAGAGCATGTAGTTCTTGAGAGGGCATGTTCTGGAGGGAATCCAATCTTGCTCTTCCTCAAACTAGCTTAATTGCACCCACGCTGTCTCTTCCAGAAACAGGCCTGAGCCAGTGGCACAGTATGCAAAACCTTGCTTGTACAGATCTATCACTGATTCTGGTTTGGCTTTACCAAATCTTATAAGATGTGGTTATTTTATACACACCCAAGATCACTGCAATGGGCTGCATGTGCAGTTGCCCTTCAGGCTGCTCCAGAAACTGGAGCTCATGCAGAACAGCTGCCCAGCTGTTGTTGGGAGCATCTGCTTTTCAGCATACCACTTGTTTTGCACTGGCTGCCTATGCACTACTAGACCAGGTTTAAGGTCTTGGTACTAGGTTATACAGCTTGAAACAGTGTAGTACCAGGATACCTAAGAGAACAGCTCCTCCAACCTGGCTGGTCACTTAAATCGTTGGATGGCAAGCTCTTGGTGGTCCTGAGGAGTTCTGACCTGGCTGGAGGCCAAATGCCTTCAGCACAGTGGCTCCATTTCTTTGGCACTCCTGGCCTCCGGAAGTCAGGCAAAGACAAATCAAATTGTTGGTTTTAAAAGCCTATATAGTTGGGGGCTTATTAAGCTGAAGAAAGTTTGGAGTAACCAGCACTAGACCTTTCATGAAGGACATTGAGCTCTGTACAATTCTAGTGTGGGAAAATACTTCTTTGGCTCAGAACATGTGCTTTCTGTTCATTAATTCTAAGTCTGTGCCTTGTGGAACTGGCTCTGATTGGTAGATCTTGGGGTTCTGGGGAGAAACAGTATATCCCATGTGCCTGAAGGGGCAAGGCCTCAAGTCAGGAGTAGAGCATCATGTTTGCAAGCAGAATGTCCCAGGATCAGTCCTTGCCTACTTCAGCTAGAGCTCAGAGGGAATCCAGCCTGAAACCCTGAGGAGGGTGAGTTGACTAGTCTAGCTAGAGCAATGCTCTCAACTCAGTATAAGGTGGCTTCTGTGCTTTTGTGCATCTCCACCAACCTTTGCTGTAGCAGGTTCTCACACACTCAGATTATGGCGTAGCTCGTTAGGCTAGGTCCTGGCCATTATGCAGGTTCCTCGGCAAATCCCAGCCCAAGGAAGATTTACACTAAGACTTCAGACAGAAAGGAAGAGTGGTGTTACACTAACACCCCCTCCCCCAGCAATTCAGACTAAGAGTTGATATTGATTTCCCTCATTCAGATGGAAAGAGGCAAACATTCTGTTTTCTGTGTTATGCCTTGAAGGGCATCTGATGCAGAGTTCCCTGTGAGCAAATCCCATTAAACTCAACAGGGCTTACTGCCAAGGAAACGTGCATAGGTTCAGGCTGGAAAAGCTTTCTTTACTTTCCTCAGTAATGAGACAGACAGGATGTGAAGCAGCATGTAAGAAACCAAGTAAACTCTTCAAAGTCAGCTGTTGCTCTGATATATTGTCAGGGAAGAAAGCATTAGAGGGCTTAGAAGATGACAGAGTGCCCGAGGCTAATGAATTACTTCAGCCTCTCTTGCGTTGCTTCACTTTATCCAAGTTTCTAAGTGTAAACAAAAACCCTTTAAAATTCCCTTTTTTTGCTATCGTTGCTGGATCTAGTTGGCATTAACTCAAAGGAATTGGGATTGCTGTTATACATGAACTAATGGATTAAGTATAGCTTCAACCAACACTTCAGAACAACTTTGTCTAAGCTCAGCCCAGGTCTCCATGAAGCATCTGAGATGGAACAGGCCATACCAATGCCATCGCTTGCATCTCTTCCTGGACCTAAGCTACCACCCTGCACAGCTTTCTCTGTTCCTCTTGGTCCTCATTCAATCTTATATGAAGAACTGGGAAGTCTGTTTCTGGGGTCTATTCCCCCAGGAGAGCTGGGTCATCTGAATACACAAAGAAATGGCACATGTGCTGCGATTTGGGCTGGGAGGTCACCAAGATGCACAGGATGTTTGAGTTGAGCTCTATTCAGATGTTCCAATCCAGCATTTCAAAGATGACTGGAGAAAGGGGCAGGGCTAGTCCCACCCCGTCCATCATGCTCCACGCATGGAGACTTTCTGACTTTCTGACAAGTCTCTTGCATCTGTGCATGCTCTCCATACAATTTGGAATCCAGATGTTCTAGGATACTCAAAGCTTATCCATCTCCAGGTTGAACTACTGCAGCATGAAGCCTGTGGAATACTCTCCAGGTATGCTACCCCTCCAATTATTTTTTACTGCTGAGCTGGAATCACTTTAGAGTGCAGCCATCTTCATTTTACATCATTTTTTCTGGACACAAACAAGAGCCTTTTTGAAACCCGTAATTGGCGCACAGGATGGGATGATCCTTTTCAAGATCCTGGCACAACAGGGAAGAGTTTTTAAAAAATTCCTTCCCTGAATGCTTCAATCGATATTGTATCCCCCAGCGCTTACCTTTTAAGTTAAAAAATTATCTGACAGAGCTACATGCTACCTATTGAATGCCATGTAAGGTTTGACCCTGAAACTTTCTTCCTGAGACTTCAGTAGGTCATGCCCATCCATTTCCAAGTTCTTCCTGGAAATCTTGAGGGCCAAAGCCATGCCTTCTTCAGAACCGATGAAGGCTGAAGTGGAAGTCCTTGCTACAAAGCTTCCTGTGGAGCTGCCCCAGCATGTTCCCTTACTGATCAGACTCCATATTTAGCAGGTAAGGAAGATGAGCAAGCAGAGAGCCAGAATGCAGTGTCAGGAGGTAAGGCATAAAGATACTCCATCTCTAAAAACTACTGGTCACAAAGTCCATGGCAAAGGCTGGAATGAAGATTCACTGGCAATGCTGTTTTCTGAAACTTACCATCTGTGCTCTCCACTGATAGCTGCAAGCCAAGGTTATGCTGAGGGTTTACCACCCAGTGATTGCTAGTTGCAGTAATATCAAACACCAGCCAACCTTCTTCTGCAGCCCAAATTGTCCGAGTATCAAGTAAGGACAAATCTGAATCCCTAGAAAGATGAAGAAGAAAAAGAAGAAAAAATATGGCAAGATGGGTGTGGGAAATAGCTTTCAAAACTACTAGAATGTTCACAAAACAATTAAGGGCACCTACTAAATTGGAATGCATTATCTTGAGAACTAACAGTCAGTATGCTTAGATCACAATATACGGGATAACCCCAAGAAATAATATTCTTTAAATGTAGTTTTAAATGTAGTTTTTAACATTTTGGAAGGTGCTGCATATACCTCCTAATTAAGAGGGGGGGAAACAGAATACTTACTTGAAGTAAAATTATTAACCAAATTGATTGACTGATTTCTAAATACATCCTCCATCTATTAGGAACTTAAAGTAATGTACAGTAAAAAACCTAAAACTTCCATAAACCACTACAATTTAAAGCAACTGAGATGAGTTTAGTAGTTTGTTTAACATGAGAAGAGCCATGCTGAATCAGTCCAAAGCCAGTGTGTTCTGACAGTAGCCGACAAGTAGATATGTACAATACCACTGAGTCCGTCGTGTCTCCAGCAATTGGTTTACACAGATACTGCCCACAATGCTGAAAGTAATATATACCCATTATGACCAGTGGCCACTGAAAGCATTACCTTTTCCAAATTTGTCTTATCCCCTTAAAGTCCTCCAAGCTGGTGGTCATCACTATAATGCTACAGGTGCCTAGAGTAGGCAGGATATAAATTAGGATGATGATGATGATATGTGCTTACAAATTCCATAACTTTATCCATGCAATGAACCAGTTCCCACTATCACTGCAGGCCAAAATGGCTTATTGAAGTCATGCTGGGTTGCGCCACATAAAAGCACCCATCATCCTTTAGTGGGAAGCTGCCATGGTTTTGCAGGCAACAAGACTTGTTGGACGGGGAACTTCCAGAACAACTTTACAAAAGGCCATGAGTTACTGGAGGGTTGTTTCACCTTCCGATAAGCCACGCTGCCTGGTTTTGGATGGAGTAACCTGCCACAGCTATGCCTGAATAGGCAACCTGGAAGCCATGGGTGCCACGGCTCATCATGGATTACGGATGCCCCAGTGGGTTGTGGGTGATTGCATGAACCAGTTTTTACCACTGAAGAGAGTGCGTTTACAAGCAAATGAAGTTGCACAGGAAATGGCACCACTGTTATTTGAGTTTCTCAGGGGCTGAATACCAGAGCTGGGTAATGGTGCAGGCTGTGGAACATCCAACCACATGCACTGGCTTCTGGAGGTCTGGTCTATCCCACTGCAGAAGCTGAACAAAATGTATAATAAATGGTCCCACTTTCATATGTGCTTTATGCCATGAAAATAAAAGGTTAGATGGTGTGGTTGTTTGTGCAAGCTGGATAATTGGATATGCAAACATACCGGCTTCATTTAAAGGCCAGTTTTGCTGATTTGCATGCATCATCTTGGCAACATCCTGTGACAACTTTGCATAGATACTTGCATAACTAATTACATTGCAACTGTTTCAACAGAGACAAAGATAAGACCATCTGTGTGGTCATGAGAGAGGCTTAGGGTTATTTACGCATTCTTGCAAACAGTGCTCTTCTTTATTATTTGTGAAGTGCCTAAAAAGGGAAGATGGTATACAATAAATGGGCTTATAATCTAATTTGGGTAATAAGGACACTTTTAAAAAAGCAAAATTAAACTAAAAGCTGCTGGAGAAGGCTAAACAGAATTGGATATATGTGAGTTAACCTTAGAGCAATGTTCTTCTGAAAAAGGACAAGAATCATGCAAATAAGTATGAACTGGTAAGGAGTACCATGGAGAGATGTAGCAATAAGAAATGAAAGTGTGAAGACGTATGGGGCTTAACAAGCAACAACAGACTAGAAGAATGCAAGAACACAAAGGCACAGATGGAGAACGCAGAGGAATAAGAGCAGGGAGAGAAGCAGAAATGAGGGGGAAGAACCAGACTGCTTTTAGTTCCCTGAGTGGTCATCTGTGTGTATGCAGTGAGACAGAGGACCTCTCAGAACAGCATTCTCTAGCTTGGTCCTCTCCAGATATTCTGGACAACAACTCACAACAATCCTAACCTACATGGCCAGAGGACAAGGAATCTGACAACTACAGTCCAAACTATATGGAGGACAACTGGGAAGGGCTGATCTAGGTTAAATTCTGATGAAGGTATCACTCAATTCTACTGCTTTAATTCAAAGTTGATCCATCTGGTTGAAGACTACAGTAACATCTTTAGCCACTAGTGCCAGGCTTCATGGGAGACAGTTTCCAGCCACAGCAGATTGGGAGGCAAGGGTCAGCGGTGCCCGGAGTCACCAGAAGAAGTGCCTTCAGACTACTGCCAGCTGTGTCAGACCAAGTCCACTCACTGGTATGCAATCAATGCAGCATGCAGTGATTTGGGTTCACTAATTAAAACCCAAACATTAAACATTACATTATGAAGACAGCCATGGTTATTGGGTGGTATATAAATGAAATAAATACATAGAATAAACCACATGTGACCACTCTAAGGTATCTCTCTTCAAAGAAAGAGCTGCCTCTGAGAATGATTCTGTTTGTGTCTTAACTGCTCAAAGCTGGCACCTTAAATGGACTTTTAATAATAAGCAGCAGCATCCACACACTCCTTAGCAGCATCTGGCTTTTTTTTTTTTTTTTTTGAAGCTGCCAAGGTGAGCAAAGAAATAGCGAAAGAAATGGAGTGCCTTCCTTGTTCTTCTGTGCAGCTAGAAGGAACCTTCTGCTGAGAAGGGGAAAGCCATCCAGGAAACTGTTCTAGTGCACCACTACGCCTGCTCGAGTCACAGAGGGCCTTCTAAGCATTTGGAGCCTCCTTCAAAGGTTCATGCATGAACTAGCTCAGAAACCGGGAAACTATTCCATATAGCAGGTGTTAGATTGCAGGCCCCCCAAAATCCAAGCAGCCCTTGAGAGGTGATTTAAAAGAAAATACAATTGGCTTGGGCTTTCAATGCATGTCGCAAAAATCCTTCTTTGCTATTCATCCGTTAGCATTAAGTTTCAAATTAGTTTTCTGATTCATCGTCCAATCCATGAATTGGTCAAATTGGCAGGAAATGCACTTGTTAGCGGCCTGGAAGAAAGATGTATAACTGCTAAGCTCAGCCAGTCAGTTTGGATATTGATGTGCTCGATTCTCAGAGAGACGAGTGTTAATGTCTGCTTTGCCTCTTTGTGAGGAGGCTATAAAACATATTGCTATATCCTAATGACCCAAACTGCATTTTACAAATTCAAAGATCAAGAATGGTTGTTCAATGTACACTTAAAAAAGACATAGATAGCTTCTTTTATGAGAATGTAAGAAGAACCAAGCTAGAACAAAGTCTCCACAGTTGCCAACCAGGTGCTTATGGGAAGCACCCTAGCACAGGGGAACAGATGTCTTGAGGACTAGCAGCTACTGATCCCTGTGAAGATGTCTGTTTCCCTTTTGAAGTTGTCAGAGTTGGGGGCTGCCACCGCAAAGGGCCAGAGGATTCGAAGCTCAACATCCCAGGGCCATATGAGCCAAACTGTGCTCACAAGGCATCTTCCTCTATTCCCTGAGCCACAGTATGAAAGCCAGGGCATCAGACTGCCCTTTTCTCCCTGACAGTACTTGCATGGAAACAGACAATGTTTTGAGTCATGAAGACCGCACAGCTTGTTAGCCAGGTTTTTATCACTGAGAGTCTGCTTAGGGCTTTCAAAATCATAACCAACATTCGACCAAGCAATTCCCACAGGAAACAAGGATGAGAAGGCATTGCTGCTGGACTCACATACCAACATCTGATGTGAACTTTCCAGAGGTGAAGGACTTTTATGCTTCCTTTACAGCCTGACTCAACCATCTTTCTTTACCCACAAACCACAATTCATGAAAAAAGTTGTTTAATGGAGCCTAGTGGGAGAAAGCAACCACTTCTTCAAAGTTACTGCTTTTATTATTAACCTTACTCAGAAAAAGGCAGTCCTTAAAAAAATTATAATCCCATGCCGAAACGAACACATGACGCATCCAAGTACATATCATGAGTCAGCCTGGGAAATTGTATAATGCATTTGTTTTCCTGTAGTCTGTTATAATCCTGTACAAACAGCAGGCATGGAGGGGAAACCCCTGCAGCAAGAGAGATCAAAAGGAGTCATCCTTCCCACACACATTTGCAACTTTCCTACCCAAGTGTCCGATAATTTACTGTGCAGCAATAATGCATTAGCACTCCCTATTCCAGCTCCCGATGAATGCTAGAAGAGGCGCGTCCGTAAGCATGGAACTCATTCCAAGCAAAACAACTCATTTGTTCCATTATTCTTTTTCTGCTTACAAAAAAAAAGACACGATTTCTTAATCCAATGTCGTGAAGGCAGAAGACACAACACACAATCAAACCGAGGTATGCCTGTTAATAAGTTACTCAGCTGAGGAAAGCCACAGTAAATTGCAAGGGAAAGAACGCATTGCACTTTGCTTTCCAGCAAGCACAGAGCAAGGTTGGGCACTTGGCAAGGTCAGAGTCAGGACCTGAACTTTCCATTCATATTTTACATGCCCCAACCAAACCCTAATGAAGGCCTTGGAAAGGTGAGCCAGATCTCAGAATCAGGACTTCTACTATCCATTACTGAAGCCTATTGCAAGAAGCCACCCAAAAGCTTTGGGAGCCCTCTTCAGGACTAGGGAGGTGGCAACACTGACCAGCAAGGAAGGCAGTCAGCAAATTGCATCCTGGGACAGGGCTGGCTGAGAATTTTGTTTCAGTTCACAAATCATGCGATGAGCTAAAACTGGTCAGAAACAAACATGGGAGTGATTCAAAATGAACTTTGAAGTGAATTGTGGAGAATTTAAATGAACTCAAAATTCGCTGATTCTTCCAACCAAGCCTGGGGTGCTTCCAAATGCCTTATTTATTGTGCAATCACTCTGAACTTTTACTGTGCAATTGCTCTTGGAATTGTATAGGTGGTCCAGAAGATACAGTCTTCCTCTTGTAACCTCTTCCCCTCACTTCTTCCATGTACATTTTTTCTTATCACAGAAAATAGATTAAAGAGAGAAAGACAAACTAACTGATCAATGTCTTTTGATTGAAACCCTCCATCTTGCATGGACAGCCAGTAAGATATACTGGCATGTTTGCATGCAATGCCAGCCTGCCGTCGCCATAAACCACAGAGGGTTGGTTGTACAAAGAACCTGCAGTGCAGCTAAGAGACAGCTGGACTTGCAATTGGCTACTCATCTCTCCCTCCCTCTCCAGCCTTTCTCTTTGGTATCCCAAGGGACTCTGCAAGAGGACCGAGTTGCCTGCTCCCCTACTGTGAATGCTTTCATACTGGTTTTGCTCCTGTCACCTGCCCCGAGATAGCTTTCCGTGGCTGGAAAAACAGTTTTTACTACCTCTATTGCTCACGCTGGCTGCCAATTAAGTCTGGGCCCAATTTAAGGTGCTGGTGATGACCTATGAAGCCGAAACAGCTTGGGTCCTGGATACCTGAAGGAGCGCCTTCTCCCCTATGTGCCCTCCTGCCTTGAGATCTGAGGCAGAGGTCCTTCTTCGGGAGCCCTTCATGAAAGAGATTAGGAGGGTGGCTACCCAGAGGAGGGCCTTCTCTGCAGTGGCGCCCTGATTGTGGAATACGCTCACCTGGCACTGGCGCTTTTTTCTTTTCAGCACCAGATAAAACCCTTTTATTCTCCCGTTATTTTAATGTGTAATTGGTTTTAATTGTGATTTTATTGTGCTTTGCTGGATGCCACACTATTTTTATCTGTGTTTGTTGTAAACCATCCCGAGACGCTAGTAATGGGACAGTCTATAAAAGCTTTAAATAAATGAATAAATAAATTTAGCAGCCACCAACAGTCACTTCAAAGTGCCCAGTGGCACTCTGGAGATCTCAGTGGTTAGGACACTCCTTTTTTTGGCAGGGCAGCACCCACAAGGGGCACAAATATTTGCTTCATTTACTTTTTTGGCCACCCTTGTGAGTGTAGATCTGTGTAGTTCTATCAGTGCAGCTGCCCTAGGGGGTCCCTGCTGCCAAAGGGCAGCTAGTGATAACCTTGTCCACTAAGCCAAGGAGACTGAAAAAACAGGTTTCTTTTCCTTGTCTTGACAACTGTCAAAAGCTAAGCTGTCAAGGGAAAGCAAAGGCATGAGAGGTCTTGTACAAAGAGTGTGGTGCGATGTATACTGGCCTCCCAGGAAGTTCTTCATCTTTTTTCCTGGCTATACTCAGAGCGTCTACTCACGCTGCACTTTCCTCCATGAACTCCAGCTGCTCAGGAAACAGCAAAACAACATTTCAGTCTCTTTTCCAGGTAAAGGAGTTTTGACAGTTAGATATCAAAACCCTGGGTGTTCTTTTGAATGAGATTTTGACAGGGGACTATGGGTATATAAATGGATGGAAAGCACCAACCCAGATGCATTTGCAAAGAACAGTGCTCTTCCCAAGCAGCAACATCACCAGTTTCTGGAACCCACAAAGGACTCGGTTAACTATCTTTGGCCAATGTGATCACGGGTTCAGAAAAAACCCTACAACAAGCTATGGGTAGTCAGGGTAGTCTAAGGATTTATTTGCATGTGACCAAGTCTCTGCAAACGAAGCACTACAGACAGAGCTTTCCTATTCGTTCACATCATCTCAAACAAGTTTATTTGCTTATTAGATGTTTATCCTGCCCCAAGAGTCAAAAGAATCAGTTTGTTCATTCATGTAAATGCAGCTAATGTGCACTGTTCTGAAAGCATTTGCTAAAGAACGGTCTATAAAAGCTTTTAATTAATTAATAAAATTAAAATAATTGAATAAGCCCAAAGCAATGATTGCAGTGTGATTGTATCGCAACCTGGTTGGGTCTTGCTTTTTTCATTCTGAACTGTGACCGGGGTCTTCCATTAGCCACTCACCTTCCTGTGTGTTCTTGGAGGACCTGGTAGATTTTGATCTGGAATGTTTCATTATAAGCACGCTCTCTGATGTAGTCCTTATAAATCCGAAACTCTGCAGCAGTCACTGCTTCACCTTCAGGGATTTTGGAGAGGTCAAACCGGAACTCACGATGACGGCTGCGCTGGTGAAACAACTCCTTGTCATGCTCCACTGCAAAAGAAAAGGCAACACATTGGTACTCATGCTTTTAGTCAACCCGTAAACCATCCTATGCCAGAATGAACTTCCTTTATTAGGAGAGTGGTATGTCTGTGCTCAGGGACAACCCGCTGGGGAGAAAGGAATATACAGCAGGCTAAAAGGAGGTTTCCCTCAACAGTGGAGACCCACCACAGATGCAGGAAAATATTTAAGGTACAGGACGTTTGGTGGTCTTGGCAGGGGGACAGGCACACTGGCTGGATGGGACCACGCACCGGTGAGAACCACTTAGGAGTATTCTCTGTTGTAAGCCATTCCTGCAAAGCAAGGCTAGGCAACCGGATGCAGTCAAAGCATCTTGAGGACAACTCCCATCACTGTCAGTGCATTGTCACTGAGTGGAAAAGGCCCGAGTTCACAACCTGTCCGCCAGGCTGCCCTCTGCACCTAAAACGTATCGCAGCAATGCAGCTTGGTGGCACCAGAGCACAGATATCTATGGCAAGGTCATCTTTTTCTAGGAGGAGACAGAGCTGGAGCAGTAACCAAAGCAGATGAAAAGCATTGTTCGCCACGGATGCTGCTTGGCATGGAGGGCTCTGTCTAACAACAGGCTGTGAAACTGGTCCTCAAGGGGAAGGGAAGTCCTTACAAGGGCAGACCAAGTACCCCGCCCCAATGTCATTATTGAAATCATGTTAGTCCTTTAAATTGCTTTACATTTTGCATAGTAATCTTTATGCTGTATTTTATGTAGTTGTATGCTATTGTCATCCATTTTTATTATGCTACTTGTATGTATAAATTGTTGTGAATTACATGGACAGAGCTTTGGGACGCTACAGAAAGGGAAGAGGAAGAGAACAAGGAAAGAGCGGACAATGGAGCAGGAGGACAAAGTGCCACCTATCATCAATATTTTTATCTTCTCTGGACAAAATTTCATTTTGCTGGCCTCATTCAGTTCACAGTAACTCCACGTACCTGTAAGAATGCCTTACTGATGTAGACAAGCCCATGCTACCGAATGTGTGGGGTTTTGTTTTGTTCTTACAAAAAACCCTGATGAGGCAGCAGTGGTAGACTAGACAGAGGAATGACGTAGGGAAACAAGTAGTAAGTACAGAAGGAAAAACATGCTGAGCGCTATTTTTTCCAGCAAAGGTCCTACAGCTGGCCACATCACCTCTGTGACTCACGCACCAGTGTCCACTGCTCCCATTGCGTCGTATTGCTTGAGTCATGCAGGAGTGGTGGTGAACTTGAAGGGCACATCATGGATCTTAGTAATACCTTTGATTCACCCAAAGCTGGCTGTGTGGCTGTCTGCTTCCCATCCTCTCCAGAGAATCCATACACAAAAAATGCTTATTATGTTCCTTGGCCTTGCCCATCAAGAGCCAGATGAAAGCATTGATCCAAAGCTAAGCATGCCATGAGACTGAGGTACTCCATGCACCGCTTGGGTATAGTAAGCATCACATCGTAAGATGAGTTATACTGGCTCACATCAAAGGCCTGTTTAGTCCTGCATTTAGTACTCCGGGCTGTAGTTCCCTCGTAGAACACATGCTTTCCATGCAGAAGGGCCCAGGTTTAATCACCATCATTTCCAGGTAAGGAAAGAAAAGCTCCTACCTGAAACCCTGGAAAGTTACTGCCAGTGCCAGTCAGCCTCAACAGTATTGCACTAGATAGACTAAAGAGCTGCCTCAGTAAAAGGCAGTTTTCTGTGTTCCTATTCTGTTTACACAGTGGCTAACAAAACATCCAGGGAAAATTGACAATTAGAATGTGAGTGTAACAATACCCTCCTACTCATGTTTCTAGTAATGGGATAATCCCCCAATACCAGAGGTAATATAGAGTCATTATTATCATTTATTTATTTATTTAATTTCTATGCCATCCAATAGCTGGCGTTCTCTGAGCAGTTACAGCAACATTAGTCATCATGATAGCCTTGTTCACTATTACCATTTCCTTTTTTAAATAACTGCTTTTTCTTTCCACGAGGGGGGTTGAGTTTACACTCCCAAATCCCACAAGGCTGTTCCAAATTCTCAGACAACCAAACTTTCTATTTGATTCTATTTATTAAAATACCTTTATCCAGCATTTCCTTACTTACCTACTTTTCAAATGTATATGCTGCTGAATAGTCCAACAGCCCTATCTAAGCAGCTAACCAAGTTAAAATGCATTAAATACAATCACTCAATTATACATTGCAAGGAGGGGGGAATCAGGTGGACTTCTGCAGGAAGCCCATTCCAAAAGTGGGGGGCAGGCCCTGAAAAGGCCCTTTTTCTAATCCTCATCCCCTTTACTCCCTTTAGGGGTAATTCTTTCAGAAGGACCTCATTCCCAGATCTCAATAGGCAGGCATGAGTACATTGGAAAAGGCAGTCCTTCAAGTAACCAGGCCCCAAGCCATTTAGGGCTTTGCATGTTAAAACAAGTACTTTAAATTGGGCCCAGGCCTCAACCAGCAAGCAATGTAATTTATACAGAGTAGGTGTTGTGCAGGCACATGAACTGACACCCAACATTCAGCCCTATTTTGGACCAGTTGAAGACCATCTTCAAAGGCAGTCCTATGTAGAGCACATTGCAGTAATTTCATTTGGATGTTACCAGCGTATGTGTAACCGTGGTCTGTCTCTGTCTGTTCAGATAAGGTCATAGTTGTCATATTCCCTGCAGTTGGAAAAGGGCACTCCTGGCCACTAAGTCCACCTGAAACAGCAATGGAAGTATTGGGTCCAGGAGCACACCCAAGTAGCAGACCCTGTTCTTTAGGGGAAGTGGGACCCCATTCAAGACAGGATAATGGCCATCTAATCCATCAGAGAGATCATCTTTAGATCATCTTTTTTTCCTTGCAAAAAAAAACTGGTAATAAAATCTTAAAACACAGCAAAATCAAATGTCAGTAGAAGCAAATAAAAAGCAGCAGCAAAAGCAAACAGCACAGAGGTAAAGACAATTTGCAGGCTTTTCATTCATAAGCATTTCCAAAGCACAACAATCAAACAAGGGTCACAAGACATATGAACTAAGAATGCTAAGATATGCAAAGTCAGATCTGAAAAGCAAAAGTTCAGAAAGTCTCTGATAGTGTTTTTCCAAGCAACTATTTTTTTTTTTTTAAACGAGGGTAGTTGTTGTTCATTTGCTGTCAAGAATCCAGATGTTTTCCTCTGAGTTGTGCTTGTTCACATTTTTCACATTCTAACTGCAATTATTTGTCCCTGGGCTAATGCAGTTCCCTTCCTAACACACCTTCCTTGGAGACCACCACAACTGCAACTCTGGAGTGCAGCGTAGAACATAGCGGCATGTTGCTGGCACCAATGAGACGGAGTCTGCACATCACTGATGAGACCCCTCATTCCGGTGCCATTCCCTAAGCATGCTAAAGTCTAGGTGCATTGCTTGAAGTGCGCCTTCAGGGCTGCACTCAAACCAAAATAAAGCATGAATCACACAGGGTTCGGGAGAAGTGACTGTACCAATGTGTGTATTTAAACTCGGGCATGACCCAGTCACACAGGGAAATGGCAGGGATATTAAAAGCCAAATGGGCACATGCGCAAGGATTTCTGCTCTCATGTAGTTTACTTCTACATAGTCCATCATCCCAGGATTACCGTTTTTCAGGGGTACTCCATATATTTCCAGTACTGGAGGGAAAAGTAGGGTTGGAGAAGAGGCTGGGGAGAATTCAGCCATTTGAGCAGATGTGTTTAGCACCCTCCCACCAACAACTTTTACTCTTAAAATCTGAAATTTAAACAGCCTCTGTTGTCATGACATTACATTTGGTCAGCAGACAAGGATTTAATGCAGATGTAGATGTCACTTTGTACAATAGCTTCTGCTCTTGTAAGACTCATAGAGTTAGAAGGGGCCTCAGAGATCATCTAGTCCAATCCCTGCTTAAAGGAGGCTCTGCAATTGGGCTGCATTTAATTATTAGCCATGCCTAATTCTCTCTGACTATTTTTTCTAACTTGTGGAAGGCTGTCTCACCACAGGGTAGTACCACCCACGAATTTTCTCCCTAGGGGTTGGCAAGAACTAGTTCCCCTTTGGAACATGAGCACCTTGCATTGTATGTGGGGGGGGGGGGGCATTCCTCCCATTTGTGCTCAGAGGAACAGGGAGGCCACCAGTGTTGTCATGCGTCCCATGGGAATGCAGATGCGATCACATTGGGACCAGTGCATGCTCTTCATTATTTTTGTAGGTTGGGTACCCTCTAAAGCACGCTCTTTGCTGCTTTACTCATAATTAGGCTGGGTAAACAGTATTTCACCCTTTAGGTCAGAGCTGATGAAATTTTCTCCCGCCAGAGGGCCAAATTCCAACCTGGAAAGGTCATGGGACCTGCATTCCATGAAGGCTGGGGTCACAGGGAAAATAGGCAGGTCCAAGAATGTACCACCAGCCTTCCAATCAACCAGGTTCCACACCTGCCGTCAATTCTCGAGCTGAGGATTTTGCAGCCTCTCATGCCCTGCACATCTCAAGCCAGACATTGCACCCCTCCCTGCTTCCTAAGCCGCCATTTTGCATCTCCCACCCCACTCCTCCATGTGTGTAAGAAGGCTCACTGGGGCCAGTGCTGGGAGTGCAACACCGTGCAGTTAGCTAGTGAGGAGGGTTGGAGCCCTCTGGCTCCTTCTCAGCTTTCCTCAGTTTTTGCTTCCGTTCAGCCAGTGCCCCAAGTCAGATCCTGCTCCAGCTCCAGAGTAAGTGATTAAAAACAAACAAACAACCAGGGTGTCCAAATCAGGAAGATTCAAGGGATGAATTTCATTCAAAGGTTGGAGGTTGTCTCTCTTTGGTTGTAATCCAGTGGTGCCTAGACAGCATCTGAGAGGCTGGGGGTTATTTCAGATTATTCCCCTCCCTCCTTGAAATATTGTCGCTGGCTTGGCAAGAAGGCCTGTCTGGCAAAACTGCAGAGTGCACGGAGGAGGTGCGGAAGATTGCCTCCACCA